ATTTAGCACTGACGTGACGTTAGGGTGCTCCGGGTATGCTTCGGTGTATGTTTTGTTTTATTTGTAATTTACTTATTGTTGTAATATTTACAGCTGGCTGTAAAAGAATTAAATATTTTGTTGGTGTTTTTCTTGTTTTTCAATTCCTATTATTTATCAAACTACGGCAAAAGTCCTTCAACTTTCCGAACACCCCTCGTATTTGTGTGAAGTTATATTAAAATCCCTCCATGCTTATGGAAGTTAAGCTCCCGACACAGGTTTTGCGCTAACCCCCCCAAGTGTGACCTTGACCTTTGAGCTGCGGACCTTGGTTTTTTGTGCAACATATCTTCCCATCATGGTGAAAATTTGTACCAAATTATTTTAAATCCTTCAAAGAAAGAGCAAGATATAGACCGGACAAATTTGGACGAACACACATACACTGAACTTTACGCCAAGAGGTAATTAAGTTGAGCTCACCGCAAGCAGTCATGACAAAAATCTTTCAATGAACAACAAAGTAACAGTCTGGACGGGAATGTGTACATCCTTCAAATTATAAGTGTGACCTTGACCTTGGAGATAGGGACATGGGTCTTGGACCTGAAACATGGTCTTGATGTAGTAGACATTTATGCCAAGTTATTTTAAAATCCTTTGATGCAGGACAGTTACAGTCTGGACACAAAATTAATGTGTACCTATAATCTCTAATTGTGATAGAACTTAAGTGTGATCTTGGACGCAACACAACATAGTGATGTGGTAGACAAGAAATTTCAAAATCCCTCAATGCACGACAAAGTTACAGTCTGGACAAGATTGTTGTGTAAGTTGCATAGACAGACAGACATTAGTCTTAGTCGCTACACATTGTCTTTTGTGACAAGTTATTTTTAAATCCTTAGATGCATGACAAAGTCCGGACACGAATGTGTGTACCTATTTACTATTGTGATAAAGTGAAACTTCAGAATACTAGTGTGACCTTGACCTTTGAGGTAGGGACTTGGTTCTTGGACGCGACACATCGTATCGATGTGGTAGACATTTGTGGCAAGCTATTTCTAAATGTATGACAAAGTTACAGTCTGGACACAAATGAAGTGGGGCGCACAGACGATGCGATTTTAATATGCAGCCTTTCGGGGCATAAAAATAAATTCAATACATGATTCATCTTCTAAGCAAAATTTACTTGACATAATTAAAATGGATATACAAGATAATCAACAAGAGGGCCAGGATTGCCCTGAAATCACTCATCTGAATATCAAACTTTCTATGACAAGGAATCTAAATCTGAGTGATACCACAAAGCTCATATTTGTATCTAAAATAGTGCATGTGTAAAAACATTACTGGTTGCTTTTGCTAAGGGAAAACAACAGTTCAAAAAATGTGTACATATAAGACAAGAGGGCCAAGATGGCCCTAGATCGCTCACCTGACCAATCAAACTCATCAGAGCAATTACCTAGACAAGCATCCTGACCAAGTTTCATGACAGTTGAGTCAAACATGTAATCACTAGCATGTTAACAAGGTTTTTCCCTATTTGAGCAGTATGACCTAGTTTTTGACCCCAGGTGACCCATATACGAACTTTACCTAGAAATCATCAAAACAAACTTTCAGACCAATTTCCAGGATATTTGGATCAAAACAGCAGCCAATAGTGTGAACAAGATTTTTCTATTTTTAGCTCCTGTGACCTAGGTTTTCATCCGAGATGACCCATGTTCGAACTGTTTTGATGATCGATTATGATTTTTGTCCGATTAAGAAACCCTACAGGAAGGTATACCTCTTGTAGTGTCAGAGTTATGTCAAAGACAAAGTTCAAAATGTAAAAACAACCTAAATGTTATGCGCGACACGTCTTCTCAATATGGTGATCATTTCTGTGAAATAGTTGTAAAATACAACTTCAAATAACAAAGTTATGGGCTGGATACGATTTTGCTGCAAGGTCATGCTGTGACCTTGACCTTCAAGGTAGCGACCCAAATGTTGCATGCAACATAGCGCCTCAATATGGTGATCATTTTTGTGAAATAGTTGTAAAATCCGACTTCAAGTAACGAAGTTATGGGCCGGACACCATTTTGCTGCAAGGTCATGCTGTGACCTTGACCTTTAAGGTAGCAACCCAAATGTTGCCCGTGACATGTTGTCTCAATACGGTGATCATTTCTGTGAAATAGTTGTAAAAGGCTACTTCAAATAACAAAGTTATGGGTCAGACACGAATTCAGTACGTACGCACGTACGTAAGGACGAATATCCGGCCAAAATGGAATAAGGGGCTATTTCTTTTGTTATTTTCTTTTGTTAAATAGAGGGCCAATGGCCCCTTATTCCATTGTTACGGAATGAACTCTATTGTTTTCTTTACAGTAAGATGGCCCCATATCCCTATTCGGTAGTGTGGACTGACAGACAGACGGACAACCAGGCGACTATATGCTTGGGAAATTTTTCAGGGAGCATAAAAATGTGACCACTACAGTGTATACAAGGTTTATTCATTTTTGGGCAGCGTGACCTAGTTTTTGATGACATGTAATCCATATTAGAACTTGACCTAGAAATCATCAAAACAAACTTTCAGACCTATTTCCACGATATTTAAATCAAAACAGTAGCCAATAGAATGTGAACAAGAATTTTCTATTTTAAGCTCCTGTGACCTAGTTTTTCATCCGAGATGACCCATGTTCGAACTCATTCAAGCATTTACCTAGACAAGCATCCTGACCAAGTTTGATGACAAGCAAGTGGAAAATGTGACCACTAGAGTGTTAACAAGGTTTTTGCCATATTTGGGCAGTGTACTAGTTTTAGACTGCAGGTGACCCATATTCAAACTTAACCCAGAAATCATCAAAACAACTTTCCTGATCAATTTCCAGGATATTTGGATCAAAACAGTAGCCACTACAGTGTCAACAAGATTTTTCTATTTTTAGTTCCTGTGATCTCGTTTTTGACCCAAGATGACCATTATTAGACTTGATCCAGAAATCATCAAACCAACCTTCCTGATCACTCTCCAGGACATTTGCATCAAAACTGCAGCCACTAGAGTGTTAATAAGATTTTTCTATTTTTAGCTCCTGTGACCTAGTTTTTGACTGGAGATGACCCATTTTCGAACTTGACCTTGACATCATCAAACCAATCTTCCTCAATTATTTCCAGGATATTTGGATCAAAACTGCAGCCACTAAAGTGTTTACAAGATTTTTCTATTTTTAGCTCCTGTGACCTAGTTTTTCAACCAAGATGACCCATAATCGAACTTGACCTGTATTTCATTAGGACAAACATTCTGACAAAGTTTGATGATGATCTAATCAAAACTGTGACTGCTAGAGTGTTAACAACCCAAATGTTGACGACGAACGACGCACGACATGACTATACTCACCTTGACCAAAAAAATATTTATTAAAATCAAGTGTCTAGTAATGAAACAGACAAATTAGACTAGTTATTCTTGATGTGTACACAATCAAGCGTGTCTTAACAATGGTTATTAATGATGCACAACATTTGTATCATACCTTTTGTTTGATGTAAATAAGGCCACACTGACAGTTGTTTTGGTTTAAAATGGCCACATGGATACTTATTCTAGTGGCGCTGGCCTCAGACAGCATGTGACCATATGCAACCATTATATAGGGATTTTCATAGGGGGAGGAGAATCAACATGACTGTTGTTGGCAAGTGACTGCTACTCTAAAATGACTGTTCAAGTTAGACTGAAATAAGCAGAGATCTGCCAAGAATTTGAAAGTACTGGGCCCTGGACCCACTTGGTCTGAAAATGATGGGCCATTTTTACCAAAGTATGGGCCTTGGGGAAAATAAGTAAACATTGACCAAAATAACTGTTAAAAAGTTTGTAGATAATTGAATTTCCCTGGTAATAAAACTTAAATCATATTTTATGACAAGTGGTTCACTTATAATTCAGTACTTAACCAATAATTAAAAATTATGCCTACATGGCAACTTTCTAACTAATATTAATTGCAGGCAAAATATTTTTTAAATGGCTGCTCAAAAATTTGATAAGCAAATTTATTCACATAATTGCTGGTTCTTACTTGTAATGTCTTATATTGTGCATTATCCATTTAATTGTTCCTACTTTGCACCAAATGTCCCTTACCACTGTATATTGACGAATTTTATTGCCCCTTGTATGCCTCTGTGTAGACAGCATACATCAAAGACATTTGCCGACAGACCTTTTGATCATGAAAAAAATCATGCACAATGTTTCTCTGATTGGTTATTCAACCTGTCAAATATTCTGATGACAAAATATACATCTTTTTTTTACACTTCATCAGCCAAAACTTGCGTGAACTTGAGTGACCTTAGGGTTGATCAAGTTGAACACCTGTCAGATTATACTGTAACTTACAGCATTTCTTAAAATAGCAACACTTTTTTTTCAGTTACCGATAATCATTTTAAATATTAAGTAGTTGTATAATTTGTTTGTTTGTTTTATTGGATTAAATTTATGGTAGTAGAAATGAGTATCTGTGTGGGAAAGGGATTATGAGAAGAAATGCGGTAAGTAGATAACATGGACAAAAGCTATATAGGGGAATGGATAAACTCAAGAATTTGCGTAATTACAGGAGCATGGGTAACATGTTGCTGTTGGTACCAGTTTTGACTGGATGACTAAATAACTCAGCAGACAGTTTTGTTTTCTTATAAGTCTGGCTCAGATTTTAGATGCGCCCATGGCCCTTTGCTGCCGATTTTCCTGCGCCATTCTCATTTTTTTAGCGCCAATGGCGCAAAATCGCGTCCTCGGCAGATCTCTGAATAAGTCTTGTAAAGTTGCTGTTTGCGGAAACAACTTGTCTACAGACAAAAGGAAAGACAGACAACAACATACAAACTTGCCTACTGTTTTTTTTTTTTTGGGGGGGGGGGGGGGGGAACTTACATCATGACAGTGATAAATATCAACACCCACATACCTTTCAAAAAGACTTGTAAGAATGTTTTGTTTTTTCTTCCAATTTTTGCCCTTTGCTGAATATGCTTTAATATCATACTCCTCCTCATTTTCTGTCCTGAAATATCAAGAAAACACATCAATTTCTCATTTTTTACAGTACAATTTTCTACATTTTGTGTAGAAAACTAGTTTATAAATTTCATTTTTTAACATTTTGTGTTGTTAATGCACACTGTATATATTATTTATGTCAACTTTCTACAATCTGTGTTGTTTATAATGTCAATTTTCTACATTCTGTGTAGTAAATGCATTCTGTATACTTTATTTGTGTCATATTTTCTTTATTCTGTGTAGTTAATAAATGTCATTTTTTAAAGCTGCACATCTCCAGATGAGCAAAAATATTTTGATAAAATCAAACCTGAGAAAAATGTACTAAGATTTTAGGAAAGGTATAAAGATTCAAATTCTAGTAAAAATTTACATGTTATGTGTGATTAATGACCGAATTTTTATATATATATATTTCTATATTTCTACTGCATTACTAACGCAGTAAGGGCTATTATTGCATATTTTGACCTCTTTATACTAATTTACATAGGTTGTAAGTGCCATTGATAACGTGTAAATTGCATTATTTTAGCAACTTTACAATATTACACTGCTAAATACATTTTCAAATTTTCATGAAAATTAGCATGAATCTGGAGGCTTTAACATTTTCTACTTCTGAATATGGTAGTCAATTTTCAAATGATAAACTGATCAGCTAGTTATTTCATGTTGATGAGGACAGAAAAAGAATTAATGATTAGATTTAAACCATTTCATTTCAACTGGACTCTTGATTAATTATAAGTTACAGCCATATAAAACATGTATGCCCCCTATCGGAAGCCAATTAGTCATGTGGCCAGGTTATTGTGACTCACACTGACTTTTGACCTAGCGAAGAAAAAAGTTGTTGACTTATTGGTCAGAAACCATTTTTACGACAACGTCAATGTGACATTGACCTTTAAACATTAATTCAATAGGGGTTATCTATTGGCCAACACCAATGCACCTGTGAAGTTTGAAGGTAAAGGGCCCATGAGTTTTTACCTATAAGGTCTGACCCAGAAATCCCTTGAGGTCATCTTCTGATCAAAAGCAATGCATTTGTGAAGTTTGAAGGTCAAAGGTCCATGAATTATCAAGTTATTGATAGGAAACTGTTTTGACAGACAAGGGCAATGTGACCATACCCTATGACCCCCTGACCCCAAAATCAAAAGGGGTCATCTACTAGCCAAGACAAATGCACCTACCAAGTTTAAGGGCCAACAGCCCATGCAGACTGTCCAGCACCTTCTGACAAAAAAATTAGGGCAAATTTTAGGGCAATTTTTTTTAGAAATTTTAGGAAACATAAAAGAAATTTTAAGGTTAAAACTTTGAATTTTATAACTAAACTATGGCCCCAAAAGACTGTAATATGGGCTTAACTTTGCATATTTGACGTAAAAGTAACACACAAACTAGAACTTTCCCTGAATGTGATTCATACCCCCACCAATGTCCTTGACAGAAGACGACTTGGAAAGGTGGTTAAGGGAAACACTTTAGTGGCACAAATACATATACCGTACAGTATATAACAAGATTGCATTTGAGAAAATGCTATGCCACCGCATTAATACAACACTAAATAGTAGTGTAGGAACAATTTTTTTTTATTCTATACAATTGAAGATTGTCAAAATGCATAGATCCCTGACCTATCCTAATTCTAATTATCAGATTAGTGGTTAAATCTATTGTTAATCAAATAACAGATCAGAGTAGGAATATATCAATGCACTTGAGTCTAGTGAATTTGGTGGTGAAGGTCATATTTCACACAGCCTAAATTTCATGACTACACCAAAGGACAACACAGTAAGACACTCAAAATCTAGGTCAGCTGATATCAAAGTTCACTTTACATCTTAATCTGGTCACATGGTTCAAATTTCATAGCTGTACATCAAAGGACAAGAAAGAAGGTCACATCATCAAAATCTAGGGACGGAACCAATTTTGACCCCAGGGCTATAACTTGAACAATCTTGGTAGAGGTTCACTTCGCAAAGTCTCATGCCATATATTTACCCTCTAGCCTTTGTCAATTCAGAGAAAAAGATTTTCAAGTTTTTACTTTATACATATAAGGAAAACTATCGCCCCTGGGGCAGGGCAATTTAAACATTAGGGGCATAATTAAAACAACTTTAGTAGAGGACCCATAGATGATATTATATACCAAATATCAAAGCTCTAAGCCTTGTACCTTCAGACAGGAAGATTTTTTAATTTTTTACTATATGTATATAGTGAAAATCAATGACCCCTGGGGGTGGGGCCAATTTTGACTCCAGGGCTATAATTTGCACAATCTTGCTAGAGGTTCACTACACAATTTTTCATGCAAAATATCTTAACTCTAGCCTTTGTAAATTTAGAGAAGATGATTTTTTTATGTTTTTACTATATACATATAAGGAAAACCTATGGCCCCTGGGGCGGGGCTAATTTTGACACTAGAGGCAAAATTTGAACAACTTTGGTAGAGTACCTATAGATGATATCATTTTACAAATATTAAAGCTCTAAGATTTTTTGATTTTTTACTATATGTATATTTTGAAAAGCCATGACCCCCGGTGCGGGGACAATTTTGACCCCAGGGCTATAATTTGAACAATCTTGCTAGAGGTTCACTACACAATGTTTCATGCAAAATATCTAACCTCTAGCATTTGTCAATTGCTAGAAGAAATTTCTTTAAAGTTTTTACTATAAGTTTTTACTATATACATAATTTTAAGGAAAACCAATGACCTCCGGGGCGGGGCCGATTTTGACCCCAGGGCTATAATTTGACCAATCTGGGTAGAGGTCTACCAGACAATGCCTTATGCAAAATATCTAAGCTCTAGGCCTTTTGGGTCTTTACAAGAAGGTTTTTTAAGTTTTTACTATATGTACATATAGTGAAAATCAATGACCCCTGGGGCTGGGCAGATTTTGACCCCAGGGCTATAATTTGAACAAGCTTGGTAGGCGTCTACCAGACAATGCCTTATGCATAATATTTAAGCTCTAGGCCTTTTGGGTCTTTACAAGAAGATTTTTTTAATTTATTCTTATAATTCCTTTCGGTTGCCATGGCAACCAGATTTCTGCATGGAATGAAATTCTTTGAACAACTTTGGAAGCCCTTCACCCAAGGATCAATCCTGCCAAGTTTGGTTGAAATTGGACTAGTGGTTTTTCACAAGAAGATTTTTGAAGTTCAATATATAATCTATATAACACACAAACATACACACATACATACATACACACAGGTGAATCGCTATATGTTACCGCATCGCAGATGCTGTGGTGGCATAAAAAGAAATTATCTCTGGTGAAAAAAAGACTAATTGTGCAGGTAACAGTATATTGTCAAATAATGTTCGAAACAGTTACAAATAACCTTTCATTTTCCAAATGTACTAAACGTTTTCTAAGTCAATTTTTGACCTTCAAGTGTGGCCTTGACCTTAAGCTGGCACAAGGGTAAGACGGGTTCTTATTTGTGACACCTCATATATCTTTTAAGTTTCAAGCAAATACCTGTGCTAGTTTCAGAAATATTCAAGTACATGTTAAAATTTAAGAACATTTTCTAAGTCAATTTTTGACCTTCAAGTGTGACCTTGATCTTAAGCTGGCAAAAAGCTGACATGGGTTCTGCACATAACCTTGTTGAAATGAACATTTGAGCCAAAATTAAAGAAAATTTTTCAATTAGTGTAGGACTTACAGAGTGGACATGACATACTGTCTAATATTTGATTGTTTGATATTTGACCTTCAATTGTGACCTTGACCTGACACATGGGAAACATGGGTTCTGCACATACCCTTGTTGAGGTGAACATTTGAGCCAAGTTTGAAGAAAATCTTTCAATTAATGTAGGACTTACAGAGCGGACAAGACATACTGTCTAATATTTGATTGTTTGATATTTGACCTTCAATTGTGACCATGACCTTGAGCTGACACATGGGCAACATTAGTTCTACACATCCCCTTGTTTAGGTGAACATTTGAGCCAAGTTTGAAGAAAATCTTTCAATAAGTGTAGGACTTATAGAGTGGACAGGACAAACAGTCTCATATTTGATTGTTTGATATTTGACCTTCAATTGTGACCTTGACCTTGAGCTGACACATGGGCAACATGGGTTCTGCACATCTCCTTGTTGAGGTGAACATTTGAGCAAAGTTTGAAGACAATCCTTCAATTAGTATAGGATTTATAGAGCAGACACGAAGATGGAGACGGACCGACCGACGCGACAAAGCGAATCCATTATAGCCCCCCCCCCCACATTTTGTGGTGGGGGTATAATAATGCTCTAGGTTAATTATAGCAAAGTTGTCTACCAGTGTTCCATAGTCATCAGAGAATAAATGGATTCACTTGTTAACTCCCTTTAACTGCCTACTCTTAATTAAAAGAGCTGAAAAACTACATTTAAACATAATTAGAATGAAAACATTTTCATAGTTATAACTAGAACTATCGCTGAATGCGATTCATACCCCCACCAATGTCCTTGACAGAAGACCACTTGGAAAGGTGGTTAAGGGAATAACTTATGTGGCACAAATACATAAAAAGAAATTATCTCTGGTGAAAAAAGACTAATTGTACAGGTAATAGTATAAATATATATTATCAAATCATGTTCAAAACAGTTACAAATAACCTTTCATTTTCCCAATGTATTAAACATTTTATTTATAAGTCAATTTTTGACCTTCAAGTGTGGCCTTGACCTTAATCTGGCACAAGGGTAAAATGGGTTTTGCATATCACCCAGTTTAGTTGAACATTTGAGTAAAGATTGAAGAAAATCCTTCCATTAGTATAGAATTTATAGAGTAGACACAATATATTGTCTAGTATTGGTTGTATGTAAATTTGAAGACTTAAAAAGGGGCATAACTTTGTCAAAATGCAATACAGAGTAATGAAACTTGACCTGCATATCTTATTTGCCACACCTCATATATCTTTTAAGTTTCAAGCA